CATCGCGAATAGCCGAGTTATTGTGGTCGATAGTATCCCACCGGTCGGTTGCTAGATCCAATCCACCCACGTAAGCCACTGGCTGCTCCTCACTACCTGAGGCGTTGTCGGACAAGATAACCATAGTTTTCTGGTGGTAAGACGACACCATAGTCGGGAGGCGGTCGTCGAACAGAAGAACTGCTTTGGCCCCATTTATTGGAGATACTGGAATGGCGTTGATAGCATCGCGAGCCTTTAGATTGAAGGATCTATACTTCAGATTCTGCCAGTTGAGGATGTTGATATTACCTCCGCGCTTCACAACATCCGTGAACACTTTGCCAACTCCTGTCGTAGCGCCTGTAGGGTCGATATCCGGCTTTAATGGGATCAGGGCTGTAGCGTACGCCGAAAGTAGTACTCGATCTCCTTCCTTCGTCTTTGTCAGGTCCTCGTAAACCGAGTCGTAGAAATCTTTCGTCACTGTGAAGGATGTCACCGCGTTGCCTGTCGTGTAGGCCGCTAAATCACTGCGTGGGATGCCGCCTCGCGAATCGGAGATTTCCTTTTCGGTGAGGAACCAGTCTGTTGCTTTAAGGAGAGGCTGCCGGACTTTGATGTCCGTTCCATCGGATAAATCCGCTTCGGTTGCCGGGGTATCATCGTTGCCGAACACCGAAAATGCCGATGAAGTCGTAGATGCCGCTATCACGTAAATGAAGAAGAGTACAAGCATGTGGCGTGTGCGCTTCCAGATATCAATAGCTGGTCAAGGCAATGCGGCGAATTTTTGATTTTGATCGACTCGGAGCTCAATTATTAAATTCAGATGTTATTAGAAGTAAAGTACGTAGCCACCGGCTCTTTCCGAGGCACTCGTTATTTTGCCCGACGAGGTAACATAGCATCGCCTTTTATACGTGTACAGATAGTATAGTACGGTTAAATTGGAGTAACTAGCGCATTTGCACTCGTCTGCGGATATATAGCCGCGAGCCCGCCTCTCTCTTCGCTGCGCTCGGGGGGGGTGCCGCTGCGCGGCCTGCCCCACCCCGGCCTCTAAGTCCTCGACTCGGCAAGGCGCTGTGTCTGGGATTAGAAATTAATATTAATTCCGAGCGAGTGTTGCCAAGACCGTCGGCTAAGTCCACTTTATGCATGTTGGGGAGTATAATTGTATAGTCGGTCAGCCAGTCTGGCAAAATACTCACTTCCTTCTTCAAAAGGATTAAAGTAAGGCACTCGTTATTTTGCCCGACTGAGGTAACATAGCATCGCCTTTTATACGTGTACAGATAGTATAGTACGGTTAAATTGGAGTAACTAGCGCGTTACTCGTCTGCGGATATATAGCCGCGAGCCCGCCTCTCTCTTCGCTTTCTGCGCTGCGCTCGGGGGGGGTGCCGCTGCGCGGCCTGCCCCACCCGGTTCGACTCGGCAAGGCGCTGTGTCTGGGATTAGAAATTAATTCCAAGCGAGTGTTGCCAAGACCGTCGGTTGGGGAGTATAATTGTATAATAGCCAGTCGGGCAAAATACTCACTTCCTATTAATAAAAGTAAACCGCAGGCAAAGGATCTGGTTCTGGTCAGTGGATGGGAAATTGGGAAAACAGGGGAGACGATAATCACCGAGCTCCCAAACATATTCAAAGATCGACCCCATATGGTTTTTGCGATTGGACAGTACCAGTGCAGAACCAGCCCCATTATAACATGATGCGCAATTATAACAACATCAGAAGCTGATGTTATTTAATAATCTAACTGGCGAAAACAACGTCAAATTAAAGTGCAAAATTTCCGAATTTATTAGCAAAAACTAAATATTTCTACGCGTCTTAGGTTACTTTATTAGCAATAACTAAATATTTCTACGCGTCTTAGGTTACTGTAGCTCTACAGCATTCAGTAAAGTAAATATAAAAATCACGGCAATTTTTCCTGCGTAGTGAGCTTTGTTCTCAAACTCGAGTGAAGGTTAAAATTGTTTTCAAGAATTAGCGAGTGGCAGAAGCAGATGGATACCGGTATTTTCGGTCCGTTAAAACTACTGGGCGGTTGCCGCAGAGCGCTACACGCAGACGTCGCATGCAAGAAGACTAAAAATGTACCCTCCCTCCATCCCTTTGCTGGGTTTCCAGTCGGTACTATGCTCATTCAACCTGCCTTCATGCCATGAAATCATGGTAAGCAAATGAACCACCTTTGACCCCTGAATGTATGTTTATTTGAAAGTTTCATTGTCACATGGTCGAGATTTACTCCTACGTTACTAAGTTACTTACAAAAAAGGCTGGTTCCTGCTTAGTATCCATTGGGTACTAAGCAGGAACCACATGTACTACTGTATCCATTCTGTATGCTGTTCATTGCCGTCAAAATCAGCGCCAAAGCAACTTGTTGAGCAAGTAGAAAGCGCTCTTTAATAATCTTAGGCAACCCATTATTTATTAATAAAAGATTCACTCTAAACTGGTGTCGTGCCTATTCTTACGCAGCCGGTGCAGATTCACAAAAAAAAACTGAATTTTCTTCTTCACCCCACATCAGAAAACAGCATTTGAACTCGTAGCTCTCATTTTGTCTTGGGAGTCAGCCGAACGCGAATGTCCGACACAGAAGTTCCCACTGAGTCGGCTGCTACTTCAGCAGCGCAAGATGATGAACCGGAAACGTTTGAGCGCAGAACCAAGAGCACCACCTTTTTCCATGGTATCAACCTCCGAACACAGCCGGTTCTAACCAAGCGAGGCAGGAAAACTGGCAAAATTGTATCGCGGGTTTTCGTCATCTTAGAAGGTACCCATGGAGGTTAAAAGATCCGGTTGTTCTCGTTGAAGACTAACATTGAAGCAACCTGATACTCAGGATACCTCTTTTACTTTCAGCATCCAGCCGCCACGGCACCGTGTGGGGTCCTCGCACTGCAAAATGCTGAATATTTTGTGCATTCCTATGCATCATCAGCATTGCTAGGGAACTTTTGCATTGAGCTTCGATCTCCTTTGCGAGCATGGGGTACGTCGAACAGGTTTTGGTTGTTTAGTACCTATTACTGATAACGTTACGTTTCAATTGCTCTTCTTCATTACTAAAACTCTGATGCAGGTACTTTAATCCTCCATTTCCATGGGTACACGCCAATGGCAGTCCATGAAATCAAGCAGATGATGAACGCTGCAGGAGCACATCCCCGTCGTAACCAGTTTGACAAGAATGGTATTGAGATTGAAAATAGTCGTCGCAGTACCAAACAACGGAGGCCTTCGCGGTTGATCACACTGTCAGGCATTTCTAGTTTTATTCCACAATGGGCTCGTCGGAATGGAAGCAAGCGCATCAGTATCCACGATCGCGGCGAAGAAGACAGTGTGGTGATGCTGGAAACCGAGACAGAGTTTGATCCTGACGAAGATGCAAACACCGCCACTAGTGCTGATAGTAACACTGTTGTCTGTCGCGTCATAAAGGGAACACGAACAAGTCTTCTCAAAGTGAACTTACGGAGCACAAGCACAGCAAATGAGTCAACAGATTGTAGTAGAAGCCTTAAGCGTCCCACCAGTCCTCAGGTTCTTCAGCTCTATCAAAACACCCGACTATCGTTTACACAACGGGGACAGCCACGTCGACACCTCAGTTTAGACGAACAAGAAGAACTCGTTGCTGAGCAAGACATCAGTCCAGAGCATTGCCACGAACTGTGTGTAAACGGCTTTGTGGAGAATGCTGGTCGGAGCCTCTTTCACTTTATCTGGCCTTGGGAAGGACTCCAGCAGCTTCGCCCTACCCGTGGTGGACAGAGCGACGCGGCACTACGTTTGTCGGTAGTGGTGCCAAGCGCGAGCCAGATGGCTCCAGGTCCACGTATTCGCTTCGTATCTGCTTTTGAGCCACCCCGACAATTCGATCCCGCCACCATGGCCATGATGCGACAATGGGCTTCACCACAGCAGCAGCAACATCAAAGACTGGCGATTTGTGCGGCCGAAGTCCAGTACTGTTGGGGCTGTAAGTACTGCAGTATCCGCTGAGCGTTCTG